AAATTCCTTAGAATCATGCAATCAGATCAAATCATATATGATGAGATTTTCTATTCTCATCAAATTTCTGTCGCCTTCTTCTTTTCAAAATGGATTACAATACATATATTGAAACAAGTAGTCTTCTCTTTAATCATCAATCGACACATATTCATTGTTGATTATTCAAATTAGTTATATGTCATTCTTTTTTTTCTCTCTCTCTCTGTGATAGAAAGAAACATTGATACTCAAATATTGACGCCATGAAGTGGAAACAATTCAATTCTATGTTACATAACACATAACTTTGAACTTATTCCTCATTTATTTAATGATGAATGTTTACCTACTGTCGTCTTATAGATTGCCTTGAATAAAATTTTCTCTTATAAATCATCATCATGTCTAAGAAAAGAATAGGTATATATATATATTTTTTTTTCTCTCTCTTTAAAACATGCAGAAGCACATACACATATTCAATTAATCGGAAATCATATTACAATGATAATTATTCTATGTAACCTTCGATTCTATTCTCGTTTTATGAACAGATGTGCATCGAGTCGACAACTGATCAAATAAACAACACTTTTTTTAGTTAATTACAACTAATTATTTCTTGTCAGTAAATTTTAATAGAACAACGTGTACCCGACGGACATATAGACTAAAGAAGATTACAGTTCCGGTTAAACTTGACTAGCCTGGAGGGTATGATCAATGTTTAAATAATGACAACTTAATCTTACTCACATATTTTTTCAATGATCAAGTCTAAAGACAACGTTTATATTGCCCTCGAACTATACAATACACATTTTCTTCAAGATGATATACAATTTTTCTTGCTTTCTATCATCTAATTGATCATTCTATAGTCTCTTTTTCTTTTTTTTTTCCCATGTGTACATTAATATGGAAGTCAGTTATACATTTATTTTTCTTTTAGACGAGACACTAAATTCAATTGTAGATTCACAATACACTATTAACAACATTTGATTGTGCAGCTGTTGGTATGCTCATTTAATCAGATCTCAGTCGGAGGTTTCTCGAAATAATAGAGAGAAAAGAATAAAAAAAAGTGCGGGCAGATGTGAATGAGATCAGCTTTTTATGTGATGCCTATTGGGAAGTAAAAAAAAAAAAAGAAGAATGTTATAGGGTGAACCTAATCGGAAGAGAATGTCGAAGCAAGTGAATGAATGATCAGTCTGATGAGATAATGGTGCGTGCCAATTTGCCGCTAAGGAAAAGATGAAACGTGTGTATATATATATATATTATATATATATATATCGTTGTTAAAGACTTTCAAACTGTACAATTAGAGACAGCGTGAGGCATATTTTCCCATGACATGAACACAGACACATTGCATTCAAGCATGATGCGGAAAACAAATAGTTTACAACTCACGAAATGTATCATTAGAAAAAAAAGTAGCTATTCAGTTTGTTCGTAGAATAAAACTCAGCATGATGAAAAATTGTTTCCGTCGAATTGATCAAAAGAATATCATATATATATATATATGTATCTTAACTAATCGGTTATTTTTACCAAAAATATATTATTTACGTAAATGATACTTTCTTTTCTTTGCCTATATATATATATATATAAATATCATTGTTAATCAGGCTCTATATCAAGATAATCGATAAAGCGGGATTGATGTCTGTCGTTCAATACTCATCTGTCATTTTCAGGGATATACATAGACATACAGACATTCTCAAATTTCATCAACTTGTGAAAGAAGAACGAAAACATATTAAATGCCAAACAGATGCCTTGACCCTTTGTTAAAATAACTGACGTAATTCTTTTCTTATAAATATTTATATTATATTATAAAGCAATTTTTTTCTTGAAATTATCACCATATAAAGACTTATTGCATTTTATAAGTCTATAGATCTTACAAACATTTGAATTAAAAAAGAAAAAAAGAAAATTGATACTTTCTATTTACATATAAGAAAAACAAAAAAAAATATATTATTAAACATAAGTTCCACGATTTATAATAATCTCTTGTTTTGTATCGGTTAATAATGTAAGATCATTTTGTATTGCATTAAATAATTTATTTGTTAAATTATCTGATTTATTTATAAATGAATATTGATATGGTGAATCAGTTAATATAATACCACGTTTTGGTGAAAAAAGAAACATATCCTAATAAAAAAAATAATCAGACAAAAAAAAAAATAATATATTAAACTTACTAAATGACAACTAGCTGCTGTTTCAAGTGTAATATTATCCGATTTTTCTGAACCATAAAGTGAATCTGCTGATGAACTTTGTTCTGATGATGATATTTGAATAATTTTTTGTTCTGTACTATTATCATCAGTAATTTCATTTGATTTTTTTTTATTTTTTCTTTGATAATAAATATATAAAATTAATATTAATAAAATAAATAATATTCCTAATAAACATCCTATCATGATAATTATATATTCATATTTAAAAGATAAAATTTGTTTTAAATTATAATATAAATGTATTTTAATAATTGATGATAATTCAGGTTTACCATAATCATATGCTTCAATATTAATAAATATATTTTTATTTAATAAATCAAATAAACAATTATTATTTGTTTCATTTGTACAATTAATAATTAATTTATTATCAATTAAATTAATCCATGTTGGCCATATTAAATCTTTTTTTCTATAACCAATTTTTCCATTTTGATTTTCATCAGAATCACTTGCATTTAATATAATTATCATTAATTTTAATTCAATATTTATATTTAATAATGATGTATTCCATATAGGTTTACAATCATTTATATCTGTAACAATTATACGAAATGTTCGTTGATTATTTCCACTATATATAAAAATATCATATGATGATTGAATTTCTCTATCATAACTTCGATCAGTTAATAATGTTAATGAATTATCAGATAATTTTTTTATAAAAAATCCACGATTATTATTTTCAGGTAATATACGAATATATTCATCAGATGTTATATATGCAATAAATGTTGCATTAGGTAAATTTTCTTCAATATAAACTTCAGAAAAATTTTTTGATACTTTATTTGAACCAAATGTTATTGATATAATTGATTGTTGTATTATATTTATATATACAGTTGTTAATGCTGGTATAGCATTATTTGTATTATCCGATGCACCAATAATTAATTTAAAAATTTTTTTTGTATCATATTGATTTAAATTTGTTAAAAGAATTAATTCACCTGTATGAGAATTAATTTGAAATAAATCATTTTTATTATTTAAACCATCAATACTAATTAATGAATAATAAATATATGAATTATGATCTAAATCAGGATCATATGCTGTAAGTTTAAGTAAAATTGTACCAGGTAATGTTGAATATGATATATTTATTGAATAAATTAATTGAGAAAATTGTGGTATATGATCATTAACATCAAGTACAGTTAAAATTAATTTTGAAGAAATTATATTTGAATAATCATTTGCTGTTAATGTAAATATATATTCATTTTGTAATTCACGATCAAGTGTTTGATTAATAATTAAATATAAATCAAAATTTAAATCATATAATAAATAAAATGGTTGATTTATTGTTTGATTTTGTTGTTGTTGTTGTTGATGAAGATTTATTGATGATATTATAACATGTCCATGAAAAATATAAGTTAATTCATATAATTGTACACCATTATTTATACAATCAATATCTTCAGCTTTTGATAAACGAATTTTTATACCTGGTATATTATTTTCTGTTAATGATATTGAATATGTATTTGAACTAAATATAGGTGAATTATCATTAATATCATTTATATTAAATATTAATAAAAAAATTTTATGATTAAACATATCATAGAATTTCATTGTTATTTGACATTTTAAACAACTATCATCATATGGACATAATGTATCACGATCAATACGTTTAGATATTTTTATAAGATTTGTTGTTGAATTAAATGAAAGTAATGATGAACTTTCTAATAATTGATATGTTATTAATGAATTTGATAAAGTATTTAAATCAAATATTATTGTATCAATTGGAGTTTCTTCACTTAAAAATATTTCTTGTTGATTACATTTAATCAATGAAGGAAGAAATAGAAGAATATAGAATAGACCCATGATGATCATCATCATCTAGAAATGATGGCGAATGAACAGACAACGAAGAGAATGAGAAAAAATTATTCTCTTTCTCTCTCTCTTTCTTGCTTTTCTCTTTCTCGTTAACGCCCAATGGTCGACACAGAGAGAGAGAGTGATGGATTACCTTCTTTCTTAGGATACTAGTACTACTATTCACAGTCAAATTGTCGAATTTCATCTGTTTTTAAGAAGGAAAAAAGATAATTATCTTGGCACAGTAGGATGTCTTCCTAATGAAAAAAAATGTCTATACGATCAATTAGATCAATCTGAGCCGTTCATTTCAACGATACAATAGATGTGTGTATGCATATGTTCATAAAGTAGAACACGCGATTACACCTGCATATTGTAGAAGAAATAAAAAAAAAAAAAGGAAAAACTATGCATGGGAAACGCCTTACTAATATTCATAAATAATTGTATGAATTCATGCAAAAAAGTGTGAATGCATAAATAGATGAACTATCAATTCATCAGGCTAAATCTCGGCATGCATCATTATGTGTGAGTGTTTGTCCATCAGGCAAATGACTCCCACGAGAAAAAGACACATATGCATTTAGTCTAGAGATCATCTTCTCTTAGGTTAGTTAATCATAAATGATAATGCATGTTTCATAACTCCTGCTATTTGAATCAAATACTTGCCGTCTTTAAAAATGTTAATCATCATTAGTGTCATCATTATCCTGTGCGTGCAATGAAATATGAATAGAACTTTCTTTCTACTTCAGACGAAAGAGTATACGGTCATGACCCTGTAACTATCTTTCTTCTTTATTCATACGGTGTGAAGTAGATTTGATAACACAAAACCATTTACCATCAAAAAAACAAACAAATAAAAATTTTCTATCAGTTCTCTTGAGATTTTTATCTATGATATTTAATGTATTCTTTTTTTTTTTTTTTGAGTGAATGAGTCGTATCAACATCATACAATATTTTTTTCTATGTCTGACAACATGTGCAATACAAATCAATTATAAATAAATTGAGTCAAATATTTCTTGTTCTATTACATCATCATATTCATAACATTTATCAATAAGTAAACGCGTACATATGTGTGTATGTGTGTGTGTAATATTCATATGAATTTTTCTACAAACTATTGAAATAGATAATATATCGATTGATACAATCTTTTTATCTCATGAGATCATAAATTGAAATTTTTGTTTTTTCTTAAATATATATATTAAGAATAACAATTAGTGAATGTTGACATTACTCATTTATTTTTTCTTCACACTATCATATAAACAATCGATCGAAATGAAAAAGAAAAAAAAAAATCTATATTGTTAAAATAGTACGTGTCAAATAATGTATGAAAGATGAGAAAGAAGAAAAAAACAAATGAAAATTTGCATACATGACATCTAAACTATGAGGAAGGGACGAGGGGGGGGTGTAAGTTAGATACGATCAATCAATGCACTTGTGGTTCAATTTACCTTCACTAATACCATTTCTATATGTATACAGACACTTGATGAAACTACTTTGAATGTGTTTCATATTACTCTCAATCATTGCAATGAGCTCTTTTTGTTTTTTTATAATCCAACCATGTATACGTATGTATGTGTGTCGACTTTAAATGAATGTTTACATATGTATATAGGTATCGACTTACATCAATACATAGCAGTTCTCATCTATCCATTTAAATGATCTAAACTATGTACAACATTTTTAACTGAAAGACTATAAAAAGAAAACCGCCGCATATATATATATATATATTGATGATGTATATCTCGCTTTTGTTTTTGTGAAGCGTTGAAAGTCAATTATTATTTCGTTCTCATTTATAGACAAAAACAAACGTGTATATATCATCAATGATAATGAGGATTACACACCTGAGAAATTGTATGTTCTTTTTGTTTTTTTTGTTTTCTTTTTATTTTATCTTTTTTTCATGTTAATGATTATATGTCGGCTGTCAGTTGTATTTTGTTAGAAGAGAAACTTTTTTCTTTTTTTTTTTTTCACACTTAATCGAAAAGTGAATTATTGTACTATCATTTAAAGTATAAATATATCTCATTTTAAATGAAGGCGGATCTTATTTAGACAAAAGAAAAATTATAATAGATGATATCAAATTAAATAAAAGACTAGACAAAGAATCATTTATCATATTAAACAACAAATGTTTGATTATTGGTACCGTGTTTGTATGATAACATGCAATTGAAAAGTTAAAATGAAACTTAATATGATTTGTCTATAATAAGTTTTATAGAGATTTTGCATGTTGTAAAAACGTTAGTAGTCAAATCAATTGACTTTTAGTTGATTTTTTTTGTTGATAATGACTATCATGCAAATAATTTATTGTTCATTGACAAATAAATTGAATAGATAGAAGAATGATATTCAAGTGTTAATGTCTTCCAAAACTTTTTCTTTTGAACACAATAGATTTTATCGATATTTTGACGATTAATGAATATATTTTATTATCATGGAGTTGATATGATTTTTTTTTACATGTTTTTCTAAATTTCAAGTTTATATAATGTAGTCCGAAAATAGAATGAAGTGTTGAATAGAGATGTACAAGGTAAGAGTTAGAAAATTTTTCTCATTCAGATTACATGATATGCAAGAAGCTTACTCTGCATATTTCTAATGTTGGGCAATCTCGTTGCTTATGTAGTTTCAAATAAGATTAAGCGTCCTCAATGTTTGTGTTAAATAATATTGATCGATATGATGAATGTTAAGTAAAGAACCTGTTTGATTGTTTTATTTTCTAATTTTTTAACGAAGTTTTTGATATTTGGTTATCACTGGTTCTGTTGTATATGAGATCAAATAATATGAATGTTAATAAGAAATAGATAAAATATTTCTGAAACACCTATCTTACTCTACACTGTATACTTTTATTAATAAATTTGTTACTGGTAAGATCTAGTTTGTGATATTTCTATCAGACTTCAGATGCTATTTATTTTTGTATTAGATAAATTATTGACTATTCTGTCGAATCATACAAGTTTCATTTTATATCTTGCCGAAAATTTTTTATAAATTTCGGAAAATCAGCCAAACAAAAGAATTTTTTCCCAGCAGTTTTGAAAATATTTTTTAGTTAATATCTCTGATGACCATTATCTTCTAGAATATTTGGTTCTCTGTTATCTTAGGTACTTCTAATCAAAACTATTCATAACTATTCGGTATTCTACTAACAATCCTTGAAGGATTTGGGTTCCTATCACGTCTTTAAAAAGTTATCAACATTTTAATTGTGCTTTTATAGTGCATAATATACAGTGTGGGTCATATATAGCACTACGATAGTAAATGAAATATATCTGCATCGGTTCAATATGATGGGCTGACTGTTTGGTTATTGTTAGAAATTTATTCAAAGTTCTTTTTCATATGGATAAGATTAGCAAATATTACTATTAAGTATTATTTTTGGAATCATTAAAGCAATGAATCCAAATTATTTAATGGATTTTAGTAGAGTACTAAACAATATCTTTCGGCAAAAAATCATTCCAATCAGAAGGAGCATATGAAAAGTTTCTCTTCTAAGTATTTGAATATCTTCTTATGAAAATATACCTAAATACAACTACTTATGTTTATATTCTTATCGATTCATATAATTTCAGTTGGATATCCATTCTGCATTCTAGATAAGTTTTTGGTCAAAAACGAAACTAGATTTTTTTTATCAATAAAAATATGATGAAAATTTTAGCACTAAAATTCAATATTCTCTTACTATTATTTTATTTCTTGTAAATGTTTAAAATGAGGAAGAGTGTAGGTGTGAGTGTCGATAGAGATACCATATCCATACTCACATCCACACCCTCAGGAACCTATTCTTTCCAAATTTTTGTTGTTCTCGATCAATCAGTCAAATATCTTGACGCTCAAACTAAATTCTTATGGACAAGAACAAAACAAAACTCTAGTCTGATTAATCAAGAAAATAAGAATCTCAAAATACCTACAGAATATTTAAGAAGTTTTGACATTCAAACAAACTTCTTTTGACAGAAAATTATGAGTACAGGTGACGATGAAATCCATACCCATACCAAGCAACTTGAGATCCTGCTCGGTGAATGACAAAATTTGCTGAAAGTTTCGCGTATTCAATACGTGGATCGGGACTGTCTACTGATGGAGCATTCAATTTGCTGGCGGCATTGTTCTCTAAATAGACAATAGATTGGACTTCTGTGTAGAAGAAAGTAAGATTAAATAGGATTGCCTGTTTTTTTCTTTTTTACTTACCAATGAACATGGTAAATTTTTCTTAATTGAAGTCTTAAAATGTCTATGTGGATAAGATGCTCATACATTTCACTCTGTCAATAAATGTCAATCAAATTGAAGATGATTATGATGAAGAACAGAAATCGCATTGTAATGTTTGTAGACAACTTTGCGGCGAAAATAGACGAATCAAAGAGCTTATACTTAGTAAGAGAACGGATGTTTACATGCGTAATATGCTGTTCTTCTTTGTTGTGTGCAAGCATTATCAATGATTAATAAAAGTAACTTTGTTCTGTTATGTATTTTTTCTTATTAGCTTTATTGCAATTTGTTGAAAAGAAAACAACGAAAGTAGAATGAGAAGACAAGTGTCTTATATCATACAATAGTGGTAATGAACAAGTGAACTCATCGAATTGTATGTCTTTCTTTAAAAGAGATACCATTAACTAATTTGTTCATAAGAAAATCAGTAGCAAACGACTAGAAGAGAATGCGCTGATTGATGAAGAAATAGTGTACTTAGATCAAGAATATCATCGGCGCTTCTTTCTATTGAGACAACTAGGATTTTGTTGAAAATATCAATCTAAAATAAGTTTTTATGGTTAGTTGAATGAAGATTCTATGTATATTGACTAGTCTCTATCCTATCACAAATGCAATTTAACTATGTTTATATTCTCCTGTATTTTCGAGCTTTCTAATCGATTGTTTGACAAAATAAAACATAATTACTTGCAATAATGTCGTTGATCTTTATGTAATGTTTTCAAAAATTAAACTTGGAAATCGTACAACTTGAAAAGGCAACATTATTCCAAATGGTCAAGATATATGGAATTTTACAATGTATCATTTTTTCATTCTTGAGCTTTTTCAAATTAATAAATTTCATATGTAGAAACGAATTTTCTATTCGAGTTACTAACCGCTTAATGTGTTCAATGTCTGATAATGATGATGTCTGTGTAGGCAACCAGATCTACTGCAAAATAAGATTGTCATATTCACATTTGTCGAACAAACTCAAATTATTCATTAGAATAAGTAATGTGTTCTGCTTTTAAAGTGTAATCTTTGAATTGCAATTGTATCAATTGAAGAATGTGTGGATGTGAGTGAAAAGAAGAATTACACTCACACCCATACCCAACAAGAAATGAGTTCGATGCTTTAGTTGACTTTATACTCTTTGTCTTTCCTTTACTCCGTCTTAGATAATAAGGTTATAAGAGCAATCAATCTAGCGCCATCAACTATATCAGTTTTTTTCTTCTTTTGCTATTCACGATACCAATGACTTGTTATTGTGTTTTTTTTTGAGATCATAGAATCATAACTAGAGAATAGTTCAATAACAGCAGTTGATATCTCCAAAGCATATCTTCGAATAAGATATTGTTAGGTTAGTGTAAAGGTATGCTATGGAACTTGCGCATAATGTCAGTCATTGATCCACACATAGTTACTTCTTGTTATAATAAAATAAGCGAATCCTATAAGGTAAAGAGACAACTCAATACTTCATGGTTACTTGAGAATTAGTTAAGACTATATTTTCTAAATATGAAACGAAAAAGAAATTCATAAAAGCCGCACATTTTAACGCGTTAAAATGTGTGAGTTTTACGATTTGGAACTTGTTCATTTTCGACCCACTTTTATGGGTATTTTTTTATTAATTTTATCTGACTGAGTAGTAGCTTCCGGAAATCAGAAAAGAACAACATATTTTCAAATTTTTAACTACGGTTACTCTTTTGTTTTATTTGCATTGTTTGATTACTCATTTTTCGATTTTTCTTTCTACATATTAGATAAAAATACATACACTCGATTTGATCGATCAACTGTAACATATCATTTGTTATGCATCAGTAACCTGTTGCATTTAAATATTGCTTATATGTGATATATTCTGTTTATTTTATATAACCAAGTAAAAAAAACTATCATGTTCCCTCAGTCTGAACTCCCAAATCAACAAAGTTCATTTCCTGAATTAGTTGGTCGAAGTGCTGGAGAAGCAGTCTCCTATATTTCTGCAAAAGGTAGTCCTCTCTTTGATATTTGAAATATTATTCATTTGAAATCGATTCTTCATATTTATGTTCAAGGCTTGACACCAGTTCTGATGAAACCTAATCAACCGGCAACAATGGACTATCGTACGGATCGTGTTCGTATTGTAACAGATCCATCAGGCAGTGTGGTTCTTCAAATACCTATAATTGGTTAACGCAAAAAATTTTATTATTTAATAATGTGGAGTCTCTTTTTTGTCTAAATAAAATTATGCTCATTATCATTTATATTCATCTTACTTTTCTAGACCTAAGATTTTTTTTTCGTATAGATATTCTTGAATTCAGATTAATGTAATCAAGCATCATCCCAGGAATGTGACATTTTACAAATAATGATTCATCTATAATTTTTTTCAGTTCTTAATAAATATATTGAAAAAAAATCCTAGTTTTTTATCTACAGAAATATGAATAACGATGTTCTAATAAAGTTGTCACATTGACATACTTTTGATTTTTTTTTCATTATTTTTTCGACACTGAAATAAAAATTAGATAGTCACAAACACATGTACTGATGATCTGTAAAAAAATAAAAAACTATTTTTGTATAATTGTCCGATAATATATAATTGAGATATATCATGTATATCGTGTTCTAATTAATAATGTTAACTATCTTTTATGAATATTTGGGGACACAAGATAGATATTGTTTCACTATTTCATAATGTTTCTTTTCAGTAAAAAAGGATAAGAGAATGATTTTAAAATATGTTTTATTATATCGTCTTGATTATCGAGTACTTATGAATGATAAACAATAATTGTAAACTTGTAAAACTTTTTCGTGTATTATATTGTAAAAATTTGGTATTTATCGAGCAATCAATTACTGATCACATCACAGCAACTTCTTATAACCCTTCGTTTTTGCAACATAAACTACGGTGAATAAACCTCCACGTGACACATATTACTATTTGTTTGTTTAATTATCATCGTATTCATATTCTATTATACGTATTTAGTAAGAAAATATCATGTTTACGACAGATACGTAATAATCAGTGACGATCATTTCCAGAATTAGTCGGTCGAAATACACAACAAGCAACTTAAGGTGCATTTCTTCTATATAAATCTTTCAAAGTAACCATTTATTTTTTTTTTCATTATTATGTTAGATTTGAAATCTGTTATTTTGGATTTTAATGATCCTATAACTAGGGATCTAGATATGGATCGTGTTCGCATTATTGTTGGTCCGACTCGAACGTTCTTCATTAAATCACCTATTGCTGGTTAAGCAAAAATGACTTAAGAAGTGTTTAATAAACCTTTTATTTTTTAATGTATAAAAAATTTTTCATTATCATAATAGTTTTTTATCATTTATATATTTAGATGACATAGTCTAGACTTGAAAATTTGAGAAGTGAAAAATTTTTTGATATATACAATAAATAACTTTGTATTTCATGTTTGTTTGACATATAGAATTATTCATCAAATTTTAAACTGTATCGTTCAATATTACTCTAGTATGATTTATTTTAATTATTAACATGTAATTAATATAAGTATAAATCAGTATTTTATAATCGAATTATGTATATTTTCTTCTCATTATTCAAACTATATCCACACTTTTTATGATCTTCGTAAAGAATCGATTGTATACTAGATGATCACAATAAATAAATGTTGATTTGATTTAATTGATATACAAATGTTAATAGATAACAACAGTTTTACCATTTTTCTCTTTTCGAAGTAATTCTCATTGAGAAAATGAAAATATGAAGAAACATTCTAGTTTAAATGATAGAAGTATATGCTGGAAACGGTATATGTATTCATTTCTTTTTCAAATCCGATTCATAAATTGTAGTCAAAATATAATTAACCATTTAATAACATTGTAGGTCGTTTGTTTTACGTTTTTTTTTATCATTTATTCTAATCAAACGAATATGTCATGAGTTATCATTCTATCGAAACTTGTTCTCTGATATTGTCCTCTTATTAGTTTTTATTTAAATATAAATACACTTCACTCGAAACGAATATTAAATACAAAAAGTGTTATGTTAAATTGGGACAAAAATCAACATTGAATATTTTCTAAACTCGAAAACAAAAGTACTAAAGAAATAGTCGCTAATATTGCTTCTCAAGGTATGATAACAATTTGTTATAACAGCTCATTTTGTGTCATCATTATCTATGAATTTTGTTTTTAATTTTAGCATTTATTATTTTAATATCCTATGCTGCCGTTACTCAAATATCAGCCACTTGATAACAAACCTGATTCGATTATGTAATAGAAAAGAAATATTTTTATTTCGTTATTTCATATTGTTGAAAGAACTATCCTGAGGATGTGGCTGTGGGTGTATTTGATGTCTTTTACGAGGGAATCTACACCCATACCGTGGCATTCACTTAACGTATTTCATGTCAATACCACAAGCAATACAATTTGTTACTTGTCTATACATTTCTCTTCGTCTTCTCATGCAGACAATAGATGCATTATGTGGATGAATTTATGATTTGCGTATTTTGTACAAATGGTATCATATAGTATTGAATAGTGACTGTCATAGAACGTTTTTTTTTCATAGGAATACTAGGAAACAGCACATTAATTTCAAAAATTATTACGCATTTTTTGGTATCGTTGTTTGGACATTGACCCTTCATAGATATGTTACCAAATTATTTCAGGAAAATCTAGGTACATAGCTTTGTAGAGCAAAACCTGCTCTATCTTTTAAGATACTATTAAATTTCGTTTGATTGACTTTTAGAACAAGAAAATAATCGTTTACTGAAAATATGAAAAAAAAGGCATTATCACTATTATAGAATTTTATGGAGATACTTTCGATGTTTCTTTCGTATCTATTCAAAAATCACTCAGAGAAGGGGAATATTATGAATGTATAGATTTTTTACATGCTCTTTCATTTGCAATAATCAAAAAAAGTAAGAACAAATTTTCTTGTGTGACATCCTATTACGAAGGTATATTATGGGAAGCAAAAAGAGATTATTGTTCATTGGACTCATCAGTCGCAGTAACAATTATTCTCATTGATTGAGAGTGATATGAGCGAAGAACTCGCTTATATGCAGCAATTAATTACTGTGGATGAGTCTTGATTGTTATTGCTGTCGTTCGATTCTCATTCGTTGCCGTATGTAAAGTCCATTTGAAGAGCGTCCACATATGCTGCGATAGTTATTTTGAAATATAACATATATAAGTAAATGAACGGCTTAATATTGAAATATAAAACTTTTTTTAATTTTAACAGCAGCGAAAATGTTTTGTAATTGACAATATCAGCTAAGAAAGACTATCGAAAATGACAGAACTCACATTTGCAAGTTATATTCGATCTATCTCGTTTAGATCGAAGATAAAAAGAAAAGAATGTATAATGATGTCATCGTATAGTAAAAAACAACAGTTCGCTACTTATAAACAGCCTATATGTATACTATACGAAGAACGAAAAACATTCAATGGTCGTGTTGGATGTGAGTGTTGGTGTGGGTGTGGGTGAAAAGAGCATCATCATCCACACCCACACCCAATGAAACGAAGAATAAAATGATATTTGTCATTTCCTATGGCATCTATCTTAGTATAGTATCACTAAGGAAAAAAGACATTATGTATTGAAGATGTAGCTAACAATACAAATAAGTCTTTTCAGTATAACGATATTAAATGAATCTGATAAATTGATAGAACAGTAATTCTAAATGCAAACATTTTCGAAATGATAAAATTTCTGAGAATGTCTATCAACTATAAAAATTGTTATGATTCTGATTTATTTATTTATTTCGATATTTAAAATAAATTATTTTAGCCGCTCTGACAAAATACTATAAGTTTATAATAGTCAGAGTTGGTCAGTTGTTCACTTTGGACTCATGTAGGGTGGCACTGCTAAGCTTTTTTTTTACAATTATGCTTGTTTGATTATAAAAATAATTCATGGAAAACTTTAATGAACTATCTTCAACAATCGTATGTTCAATACAGTATTGATGAAAGAGGATAATTTGCAAATAAAAATCAAACAAGATTCGATACGATGAAATAAAATTATACGTTTATACTTTGTTATTATTATGCAATACAATAGTTTCTTATAAATATATTTTCATTATGTCTTTGTGAAATTTTATGAAACGATTCATTTTTCTTTATCTCATTTCCTCTTTTTTTTTCTAAACAACCTTGATGAAACTATGTAGTTTCTTCTACATGACAAAGATTAAAAAAACAAAAATCATATAGAAAAAGATGAGAATAAAAAACTGATATTATATATATTTATATTGAGTTATGATTTTCTTTAATTGCAATTTGTTTGAGTTTAAGAAGTTATAGATTTCCTTAGTAAATTCAATCGGAACATAGTTTCTCTTAACAAGCTTCGACCAAAAACAAGAAAGAATCTTTATGATTATGTTCATTTTGATAGTATTTTTTTTTCATCGATACTTGTATTTTTGAAGTTGATCTGGGTCATAGATGATATTTAAAGTTTGAATAAACTTTTAGTGAGTTATATTCTAACCAAAAAACAATCAAGGACTTTTATGTTTATGTATTTTCTATCGTAGAATAAGAAATGTTTTTTTTTTCTCAAAATTAGACACTCAGAAAATTATTATATTGACTTGATTGCTCAGAAAAATAACTACTTTACAATATTATTTTCTGATAGCAATGCAGATGTTAGTCATATGCATATTAAAATACCAATTAGTAAAAATGAATACTCTGCCTATTTACAAATAAGAAGTACGTGCTATATTGTGTTAATGTAGATTAAAATTAGAATTTAGTTTTAAATAATAAAATATTATTTTGTAGTTTTTTGTCCGATCAAAAATAAAATTTACCTAAGTTTCTTTTACCTAAATTCAATTTTGTCTCCGAAATACATATGTAATATATTGAAATACATAAATCAAGATAAATTGAACAATAGTAACAAATTGTTTTTCAGTTTTGTGATCCATTACTTAATTGAATTGAATTTAGTTTGATTCTTACTTGCAATTATCATGGTTTATCAAAATTGTGTCGAACATACGATTGTTTGAGACATGAGTTATCTTTAAAATAAAACAAGTAGAATTAGAAAAAGAAAACGTGTAGATACTACTCGACTTT